GAAAAAGATTTTTTTTTAAATATTATTAATTTCTAAGAAATGACTAAGCAACAAAAGTTTCCTATATATCCATGAAGTATGAATTAAGAAAGCTCCTTATTTTTCATTACAGTTTTAATAATTAAAAGACCTGGCTTATAAATTCTTTGCATGTACCTGTTTTGCAAATATATGTCTGCAAAACAAAACTAATCTATCTCTGTTGGTTCCAATCCTGTATGGAAATGACAGCAAAAACATCCCTCTCTCTCCAAATTTATAGACAAAATATACAGATGCATGCTGGGATTTCTTCCTAGCCAATAAGATAGGCCACTTCTCAGTTTCATCTGCCATATTTCTGTTCTTTCTTGTCCTGAAGTCAGAACACTGTGATCACTTGTCTGTATCTCTTTTCTGTTAACACCATTCTTAGTCTGAACTTTTTTGCTTCGTTATTGTTGCTTTGACTACTTTTGTCTTGCATATACTGTTTGCTTCGTAATATTTTTGCTCTTTGCTTTTTTTCTTTCCTTATTGTTTATTGCAAACTTTTTTCAATTCTGTTTGCTCAGCATTTCTGCCAATTACATTTAACCATGGTCAATTACTCTACAATATCCTTAAAAAAACGTATCAAATAAACACGCATATCTAAAGGCTCTTAATATATGACACAAACAAATGCACATTCTAATGCCCTTCTATTGGGGTAAAAATCATTACCTACTTCATGGGCTTCTCAAAAATATCAAGATCTTCACTTAACTCAAATTGAAGATTCAATGCAAAATTCGGATTTGAAGTGATGATGAAAACCAGTGTTGAATTTCTTAATATTGTATTAATGAAAGCGAACTATGAGAACCGGTTCTATGCATTGATTATTTGTGTAAATATCAAGCTTTGTCATGTTATATGAACTTTAGTCAGGGACTTTAGTATGACTATGAATGGCAAGATAAAAGAGAAGCAAAGATTAAATAACTGCCTCTTTATTCATGTAACAGGTGAAGTTCATCAACTGAAATAAATTCAGTTCTCTGATGCATACTATGATGCATGAGTGTATGCATGCTACTGTCAGATGTCTAAGTATTTTTATAACCCAGATATATTGAAGTTTAACAAACTGGCCAGTTATCAATAGCATCTGTTTCTGTAACAATTCATATTTTTAGAAAATGCTTTGAAGCATGTATCATTTGTCAAAGCATTACAGAATCTTTCAAAATCTTAAAGAAAAGCTAAATATAGAGTTTAACATAAATATCTCAAAATAGATTAAAAGAGCATAAAACTAGGATTTTATTCAATACTCTCTATAACTTTAAGAAGTAATTAATATTCTAAAGATTTTTTTTAGAGCAACTCCTTTATATTATCACACAGTATTTTGTAAAGAAATAAGAACTTTTTCTCTTTTATAGAGTATAAACCTGAAGAAGGCTGAATAACAGATCAGCCAATATGTTGCAACAACATCAAAAACACAAAAAAACTGGTCAGGTTGTTAGAACAAATTATGAAATCAATTGTTTGTATTATTTGTACTGCTTGCATTACTAAGATTATTATCAACTTACATTTTTGATTTAAATTTTTTTTCAATGAATAGAGACATGAAAGAAAGTTATCATTGCTAATTTATTTAATGTATTACACATATCTGTTTATTACGTGTTTTGTGTATTAATCAAATAACAGTTTTATTAGTTTCTAAATATATCTGCTGTATTTTTTTTTCAATCAATATAGAATTTCAATATACCAAGTTATATCTACAAAAGTCATCATAGAAAATTGATCTTATGTATATTTTCATCAATTGTGAGGCAATGATAATGTGGACAAGGAGAGAAGTCTTGAAGTCAGCAATACAATATGAAATCCTGAATCAATTGGTCAAACCATTGATTAATATTTTAAGAGAGAAAAAGGTTTCAAACTCAGTTCAAGGCATGGCCAAGCAAACCATATTTAAACAAACCACCCAATATATTGATTAATTTGTTTTCTACAGCTTATCAACCCTTTCCAGCTTATTTAAAGTCAAAAAATATTTTTAAATTGTAAGAATTTCTTTTTCATTAATAATGAGCGATACAAGTTTTACTAATTAATCCATAGCGGGGGGTGGAAAGAGGTGAATTCAAACCTTTTCCAAGGGCATTTGCATATAAGTGAATATAACAAACCCAAAGGACATTGCAACTCAGCTCCCTACCACCAAATATACTTGCATGCCAAAACCTAATATGATACATCAGCAGAAATAAGTCCAAACAGATGTTGATCTTTTTTTTGATAAGATATACTTTTTTAAACCTTTATAAACATCCAAAGAACTTTTTCAGTAATTTAACAGATGAAGTAGCATTTATTAGATTATGATAAAGGAGAGAAAAAATGCAATTATTTAATATTCAATTTTAAATAATCAGTGATATATTTCCTATAATTTCTTTACAATTCTAAAAAGTGAAAAACAATTTCTGGAAATTGAACAGTAGAATACTTTAATGACTAATGATTTTTTTTTTTTATAAATCAGAATAAAAATTTTGAGTAATTTCAGTAAAAGTCCTCACACTTAAAAGTACTACTTAATTCTTGGCATAATTCGCACTTTGACATAATTTGGTTTAATGTTTACATATATTGTCATATATCCAACAAAAATAAAATCCAAATCAGTTACCTATTGTTATCATTTAATCCAATACTGAAATAATGAAATGCAAATAGAAATAAATTTTCCAACAATTGTTTTTGAATCCTGCATCAGCAAGTGATGGAAACAATCTTGGCAAAATACAGAAAATGAATGGTTAACTTAAAGAAATTATTTGCAATTGCAAAAAAAAAAAAAAAAAATTTTGTGAACCGATTCTACTCAGCGTAAAAACAGAAAGCACTAAGTTATTTGGAAAAATAAAAAAAAAAAAAAAAAAAAAAATGAAATATTAAAATTGGAATTAAATTAATATAGCATAAAAGTTCAAACAAAATTTTCTCTGTGAGTTTTGATTATAACAATAATAAGATAACAGTGTTTGCACATTGCTTACTAAATGTCACTCACTGCTTTGCTTTGAATCCAATCCAGGATAGCAGTGGCAAAGAGCCAGGAAACTCAAATAAGTAATAATCATCCTACTTCATTTGATAAGTAAAAAAAAAAATTGTTTTGTTTCCCTATACATACTATATTTTTACATACTGTTGTCATCTACTCAAAATATATTTTCCATGTAGATTCCTCATTTTACACAGTTAAAAATCTATCAAGTAACCATATAGAAGTATACATTTCCTTGCCAGTAAGTCTTCTAAAAACTTTCTAACAAGCACAGTACATTTCACACAAGAGGACAATTTTTAAAAATGTATAATCCAAGTTTCTCACCTGAGTTCGTTTTTCATTCATGTTTAATATTATTTTACACAGTGACAAACTAACAGCTGAACAGCCAGTACAGTTGCACTTGAAGAGATTGTGCAGATGTAGATATAATGGAACCAGGAATAGATACAGTTATAAATATATTAAAGTAGCTGTGAAAAAGTTATTTTAATATGTAGATATATTTGTTTAGGGAAAAAAAATTAATGATAATAATAATGATGTGCAAATAAAATTAATCTTTAAATGTAAAAAATATATAATAATCTCTATTTTCTATAACCGTTATTTATTCTATAAAATACAATGTGACTATATATTTATTAGTCACACAGCCTGATTTCCCCTACTGAGATATTTTGTTGTTATGGCAACAAAAAGCATTACTAGATGCCAAGAAGTATGCTACTATAATAACGGAATAACTAACTAGTAAATAGTGAGAATAATTTGATAACATGTTGCTTTTTATTTTGATATATATATATACTAGCAGCATGGCCCGGTGTTGCCCGTGCTCGATTGAAAAATCGTACGACTTATACAGTAATCGCTATCACTCGACTTGAAATATTTTTGCCCTTCCTTGCCTTTAAAGGAGTGCCCTTTGCCGTGCTAATGTTGCTACATGCCTTACTTCTTGGCTATCTCACACTGCAAATTTTTTCTAAGCTCTATACTAAACATTAATTCTGTTACGAAAAAAGAACTAAACAAAATGAACACAAAACGATCAGCTTTAAAAAAAGGACTTGTAACTGGAAAAACCAAATGAAAAAAGAATGTTAACAACAAATACTTTTTCACACCCAACCCAGTTCTGCAGAATCAGAATCAACGTTGAGTTTAAGCAAGTAAATGAGCCAATTGGAGTAAAGTGCCATGCAGATTTAAATTTTTCCCACTTGTGACGAATGCAGCTATCGATTATTTTTGCATGCTAGTTAACATTCATGTCAGTCAGCTGTTAGCTCTCATGCTGGCCAATAGAATCTTCTTGCCTATTTGTGGCAGCCAGCTATAGGCTCTCACTCTGGCCAGTACAAAATGTCCGCAGACTACATGAAAACTGCCATAGAAGCATGAAAAAAATTGATTATTTCCACTATCGATGGGAGTTGGGAAATGCAAGGTCGGTCTTGGCCTTCCTGCTAACTTGGAGCATGTGCATGTAAATTTTGGTGCAAATGTGTTGAAAATTGTGGCTATGCATTCGTTACACACACACATCCTGCCTTTTATTTTATATATATATATATATATATATATATATATATATATCACTTCGAAAAGCATATTTCTTTGAATGTGACAATAGAGGTAATTGTATATATATCCTTCCTTAGGTGCCATTTGTGATGCATGCTTGGGCAATCATGTCTCTTTTTGACTCCTAACTGACTTGGCAGAAGAATTCCCACAGCAGACTGCAGTTACTTTCTATGGTAGACTGGCTACCAACCAATGCTATAGGACCCAGTCTATCCTGCTATTTAACCTTTAGCCGGAGGAGAATTGGTGGGTATTTGGCGAATGTAACAAACTCAACTGTAATTCAAATTCAGCTAATTTATTATTCAGAACTGTTATCCATCACTCCACTTGCACATCCAAGCTTACAGCACCTGGTATTCCCAAGTAATCACCCATGTAGGTACTAAGCTGGATCAATGTTACTTAACTTTGGTAATCAAATGAGAACCAGTGTTTCAACATGATATGGCCATAAGTATAAGCAACACAACTGAAAATTATTGAAATATCATTATCATCATTTCTTAATGGTATGGTTCAGCTAATATTTTAAATAATCCTTTGGCTAAAATAGTATTTTTATATAATTAAAATTAATAAAAAAAATTAACAGTATTCCTTGACTTTTACTTAGTAACAATCTAGTATTTCTATAAAAATTTATAGAGACAAAAGAAAAATAATTGCAAACATTTCAAATTAACTTTAAGAGATTTTTAATAGTGATATATAGTAAATGAAATTTACCATTTTTCTGAGTAAATTTAAATAAGATTCACTGAAAACACTAATATCAGATTACTTAGCAAATAGAAAGCAAATAAGCAATGTAAACAAGATGTGTTCTTTATCTTCCTTTATTCTTAAATGATATTCAAGACTTATGCGAGATGAAATAGGATACATTGACAAAAACATTACCAAAATAATGCAGAGAACAGAAACTGATGAATTTGAGTTTTTTTCTTAATTTTCAGAAACAAAAAATGTGCAAAACATGAGAATTTCACAATTTTGATAAAAATTAGATAAATCTAAAAATTATGATACAGATTAAAAAAGAATAAGGGCCATAATGTAGAAAAGGTTCATTGGCTATAATTCTCAGTGCATGTCTAATTTTACGATACTCTGATTATATGATAACAGAATTAGATATGAATTTATGAACCCATTGTCAATGGTTAAACCCTGGAACATACATGAATTAAGTTTATAGATTTCCCATTTTAATAGTAAACTTTATAAAAAGAGTCACCTGTTAATTGGGGTTTACATTTCATCTTAAGATTTTAAATGTGTATCATCACATTACAATCCTTTGAACAATTTTGTAAAAATTCATTTTAATCAATGATATAAATTAATTTTTTGAGTAATAGTTACATTAAAATAGTAAATCAATATAAAAAAAAATAAGAACTATAGTTTTCAGTTAATTGGCTTTTGCAATTATTGTGAAGATTTTAAAAAATAAGAAATTAACACATGCAGCACTACATGTCTAGATATTAACTTCCATTCAAATATCACATAACATCACATGTCTTGTAGGCTTATAGAGGCACAACATGTAATGCAGCCATAGTACAAATGGTGTATCTAAGTCAAGAGAGCTTGACCAAGCATATCCCTTTTTTGGTTTTCTATTCAGCTCCTTCCCCTAAACTGGCTGCCACCTAGCCCAAAGAATATTTAATCCATAACTGGAGGAAGATGATTCATGCTTTTCCCCAAGGGTATTTGTACAAAAGTGAATGTAACAAATTCAATAACATTAAAAATCATTTTGTACCTATACTCAGTTTCTTTGGTCATGATTTTAGCATTAAAAAAAACTACATCCAAACTCCATCTCAAGTTGTTAGTGTAGAAAGGAGAAAATCACTATGCAAAAAATATATAGTTACTAATTTCTTATTTTTCCAAATTTTCCTCATCTCACAAACACACACACAGATCTGAGCATATTTACTTCCTCAGTTCAAAAGAGAAACAAGAGATGCTTAAATAAAATCACATCATTTCAACAACAGATAATATCTAATTTCAGCAATGAGAATTAAATGAAAAATTTCAGTCAAGATCCATTTTCAGGGCTCAACGATATGCCTAGGTACCAACACGGATCTACATAAATGCATTTGACAATGATGTAGGATTGAAAAAAAAAAAGATTTATTGCAGTTCGCCTCCATTTTTATTTTTTGCAAGTATTTGAAAATAATAGCATAGCTACAGTATATAAAAATTATTTGCCCTTGAAGATTTATTTCAGTTGATATAGCAACAGGCTGTAGGCAAAATTATCTAAGGTTCCATTTCAGGTATCATATGCTTTTTTCCCACACACTCTCAAAAGACAGAAAAAGAGATAGCATAATATTGTAACTCCTATAGATACTGCAAATATAGTTCATTGATTAGACTGAAGCTCTAAAATTTCATATCTGTTGCCATAGCAATGAAGTTTACCATCACACAAAGAGAAGAGAAACTGCTTTTCAATTTACAATTTGTAAGTTGAAAAGTGCTTTCTCTTGTAATACAAAAGCAATTTTGTTTTACTTGTAAGAGATCTATCATAAAGAAACATCTTTCAAGCTTGATCATTTGCCTGCATAGAAAATATGCTTAGGTCATAAAACCGGTAATGCAAGAAAAACCAATCCAGATCAAAGCAAATTTAAACCCTGAATCAAATATTTTATATGCACCACCTTCTTTTGTCAAATAATATATAAACTTGTATTTTAATAGTGGAAACCAGTTAAATATATAGGTGTAGTTTAGTATCCCAAATCATCACAATTGTTGAGGCTATAATAATAAAAGAAACTAATAATAAAAAAATATCTTTTTGCTCATTTTTTTTATAGTCTCAACATTTTTACTGCCATTCGTATCTTTATTCGTATCTTTATTCGTACAAAAAAAAAAAAAAAAATTATGTGTGTGTACATTTCTAACTACAGGGTAATAAACACATTTATACTAAAATAGCTTATTAAATATGCTTTTATTTAACTTTTGGAAATTGAACACTTTGTTTTCATAAGATTTGATATCTCCTTCATATTTGGTTTTAGTGACCAAATATCCCCCTACCACTACTACCACCAACAACCATAATTCAGGACACTAAACTCCAAATATGACCAATATTGACACATTTTAAAAGTATGCAATGACAATAGATACAAAAACTGAAATGATTTCAAGACAATCAATTTTATGTCACTCATAAAAGGCAATATTTAAAGTAGTTAATAGAAATTATTTCTCCAAACAGGAAGTCAGTCATTTATAAATAACTTTCTCACACTTAGACTGCATATATTTCCTTTACCAACCACGAAAATGAATCTACTGAAAGGACAATTAAGAAAAAAAAGAAAAAAGCTACAACTTCACAATAGTGAAAATTCAAACAAATACTATCAAAGGCAGAACTTTGTGATGGACTAAAAGACATGTGAAAATTGAGTTGCTTGTGAGATATTATATATGTAGATCCAAGTTACTCACTTCCATCCTCAGAGAAGTTAATGTTGTTACCAGCAGTGGGCCACATGATGCTTTACTCAATGACTAACAACACAAGAATGATGTAAAATAATAAATGCAATCTATATAAACTTCCAACAGCATTGGATCATTAACCATAATAAATCATGTGGTTCAAATTCCATCACTGGGTAGGTAAGATCCATGAGCCAAAATTTATTCAGGAATGAAAAATCATTAGATTCTAAAACAAGGCTAGAAGCTTTCATAATGCCGTTATATATATTTCTGATGGCTCCTGTTTCATTTTGGCATTCCTGAACCCTAAGATGAGCCTTGAGACCAGCATTCAATTTCATAGGTATCAAGTGTATATATATATATATATATATATATATATATATATATAGATATAGATAGATAGATAGATAGATAGATAGATAGATAGATAGATAGAAGGATTATATATGACAGGTAAACTATCCATATTCTTGATTGGGTTCATTGGATTTGCATGCTTTACAATTCTGTGTACTACCTGTACCTACTCATATATTACACATACAGAAAATAAGACTACAACACTTAAGGGTTATAGAAATTCAGTTTTGCCCTTGATATAGTAAGTGCATGATTAGGAGTAACAAATATTCTGATAAAGGTTGTTAGCTATCTTGTGGTGTAATAATACTAATAACAATGCACCATCTTTGAGTTTTAGACAACACATGTTGCAATAAAGTTCAGTGTATGGAAAGAGTCCAGAGCAAGCAGGTGTCATTCTACAAAAATGGCCACATGCTTCTTTTGTTCAGTTCAAGCTATTTGGGTTGGATTTGGAGCCTTTGAGAGGCTGGATACTCATTGCAAAGAATTACTATGGATGTTGAACATGACACATTGGTAATACTTGAATACTGACAATATTAATTAAATAAACATCCCTACAGCTGTACTAAACAGGCACAATCTATTCTCCCAAAGAGGAAGCAGTGACAAACTGAATGACATGCACAGTAACGATAGGAGTAAATGTGGCTCCAAAGAGTGTCATCATAAACCATTTGGAATCATTAGGGCAACAGGCATGTTTGCCATTTACCAGACTCCTAGTTGCATCATAACAGTCAAGCAAGCCTTCAGTGGTAGAGCAAGGATATAATTTTTAACTTAAAAAAACAAAAAAAAAACTGAATAATTTATATCGAGATAAAATATTTCTGATATAACTCAAACAGTAACATATGAAACTTTGTTCGAGATGTACTTTCTTTTAGTTATGAATAAAAAAAATAAATATAATGGGATTTAAAATGTTGCTATATTTACGGAGGAAGAGAGCATCAAATTTATAGATCTAAAAGTGAACATAAGAATCAATACTACATGGTTACTATCATCAATTACATATCTGTGATGATCTTGGTCTGAAGATTGCTTCAGGTGTGTGAAACTGACAGTTACTATATAGTGTTGATTCCTATGTCTACACTGTACAATATATATATATATATATATATATATATATATAAATAAATAAATAGTATACATTGTTTTGTAACAAATAATATATCATGCTATGGTTTCATCATACTCATAAGTGAAGAAATCCTGTTTCAATTCATTTTCAAGAATAGATGAAATATAAATGTCAAAATCTGATATTAAACAAAAGTATATTCTCAGCCTTAAAATATTATCATATGATGCACAACAGGTTGTATTAATAAGAGCCATGAAAATACCTTTCTTAGAAGTATAAAATTCTGGGGTTATCCTTTGGAGTTACTAAGGTATTTCATGAGTAATAGCATGGCTGATTGCTAGGCTTCTTTGCTAAATCTGGAATTCTTTGGAATAGTATCCATCTTGAAATACCTCCAACTATTGAGGATCTTTCTTTGTAGCTAAGTGCTATGTGGATAGAGATCATATTACTGACCCAAAATACGAAGCTTTTTAAACAG